GCAGGCATGGCTGCCTCCCCTGGGCCTCCAGCAACCCCAGTGTCCCCAGAGACCATTGCTCCAGCCCTTGCACTCCTGTGGCCCAGGCTGTCCCCAGGCCTCCCCCCTGGGTGTCCCCTGTTGTGACTCACCGGGGGCGGGAGGCAGCAGAGCGGGTAGTGCTGTCCACTGAACATCACTGAGCATGCTGGGAGCTGCTGGGTGCTGCACCCAGGGATGTGTTGGCCGGCGTGGATGGGGAAGCCTTGCGTCGTGACGGTGGTAACCGTGTAGGAGAGAGGGACAGGTCCCTGGTGCACCTGGGGACAAGGCACCAAGGGCATAGTCAGTGTACAGACCTGGCTGAGCTGTCCCCACTCTGGCAGGGTGGCAGCAGGGCACTTAGCAGGTCACAACCACCTGCCACCTCCATCCAAGTGGTGCAGCCAGAAGGGAAGGGCTAAGGTGCGGGCTGGGGTTGAGGATGGTTTTGGACCACTTTTTGCTCCCTGCTGACAGGTTGGCACAGCCTCCAAGCCAGCACCGCCACCATGGGTGATGCTTAGCAGTTGTGACATGACCAACCCTAAAAGGGGACCGTCTCTAGCCCCTGGGAGCAGGGACAACCCTTGGTACACCCAATCAGGCAGAAGGACTCCAAGATTTAAGTGCTGGGAGGGCAAGAGAGCACTGGCACCCTCAGGGCTGGCTAGTCCCATCAGCAAGTGACTGCCCAGAGGGGACCCAGGGACACATGCCTTGGGACCACTGCCCAAGACACCAGCTCAGGGCCACCACAGGGTCACCACTAGGACTGGGGCTAAGGGCTGCAGCACCTACCTGGTCATGCAGATCCACCATGAATGGGTTCTGGTGGGGCGGGTGAGCGGCCGGGTGAAGCATTCGTGGCGGCGTGCTGGGGAGAGCGTAGGCACGGGGCTCATCTACAGGGCCGTGCGGCTGCTGGGGGAAGGCAGGGTGCTGCTGGGGCTCATCCTGGCCCAGCAGGGTTGCCAGAGGTCGGTCGCGTCGTCCCCACTGACGCCTGGCAGGGGGGCTGCGGGGCCACCGCAGGAGAGAAACAGAGCAGGAGTGACCCCTGAGCCAGGGGCACCACAGCCCTGGGCAGGGTGGCTGCAGGTGGGTCAGCACCAACCCAGCTCCCAGGGCGAGATGCTCAGGGCATCGTGCCAGGCTGGACTCCTTGTCTGGCTGGAGAGCTTCAGAACCAGCTCTTCTGCTCACCCTGCATGTGCCTCCCCTGTGTCCTCAGCACAAAAGGGACCCCTGTTTCCTGGGAACCCATCAGCCAGGCCAGGAGGACATGCTTCCCTGTGCCATCTCCCCCTAAGCCTCCCAGGAACCGGTCAGTGGCTTTCCCCAGCAGGGCTGTGGAACTGGCCCCACATCCCCACACACCCTGGTGACAGGGCCCTGCCTGCTCTGTGCCCCATACCTTCTCCGGAGGTGATCAGGGCTGCTGCAGGGTCCCCCCGAGAAACGGCGCTGGTTAAAAGGGGCAGAGGGTGGCCGCCTATTCACTGCCAGTTCCCATGGTCGCATTGGTGACGTTGGGAGGCAGATGGGCACACGGGACCTCAGGTTCCTGGCAGTGTGAGACACCAGCACCTTGGATCCTGTGAGAAGGACAGTGGATCATAGCACTCCAACCCCAGGAGCTTCAAATATTCCCCCCACACCATTGCCCCTGCATCACCCAGCCTGCTTCCCTACTGCCTGCTTTGGGAGAGGGGAGGGAGAAGAGGCACAGAGCAAGCCTGGGGCAGCCCCTGCTCCCGAACATGCTGTGGGAGTTACAGCCTGCTCGTCTCCTGCCCGTACTCCCCTCCACACCAGGATCTGGGCAACCTTTCCCATGCCCAGCCCTGCTACCTACACTGTGCCAGTGACTCTGAGCCACCCCAGCACCACTATCCCCATACAGCTGAAAACCCACTGCTCCATCCTTGTGGCTCCAGGACCTACACTTGCATCCACACTGGGATTGGATGGGGCCCTAGGGGGGTACAGGAAGAGCCTTTCCCTCCCCAGTTACTGTCTCTCCACTGCGTGGCCAGTCACCCACCCATGCAAGACACGGACACCAAATGAGAGAGCAGCACTTGGTTTTGGCACAGAGAAGAGCAAGCAGCAAAGGGCCCTGTGGCTTTTCCCCAGCTCCATGTCCCCACCTTCCTCAGAGAGGCCATGCAGGACAAGATGGGCACCAGCTGCCTCTGAGCCCCCTCCCACTACTTGGCAGGTCCCTCTGCCAGCCTCTCTTGGCCCCCACAGCCCTGTCCCTGCTCCCCACACAACCCTAAATCCAACTTGCCCACAGACGTCTGCCCTCCCAAAGCAGCTCCTTCTTCAACTACCTCTTCCTCAGTGCCCACTGCAGAGGCACAGCGGGCCAGGAAGGGCACCCTGAGCCTGGGGAGTGCTGCTCGGCGCTGGGAAAAGTCTGAGGGGGGGGGATGTTTCACTCCAACAGGGAGAAGCTTCTATGTCACTCCTGGCTAACACTGGTCCCAACCATGGCAGGAAGTCACCAGAGTGAGCTCTGTACCACACACGTGGCACAGTGAGTGAGCTCTGTGCACCCTCATCTCCCATACAATTTTGGATGCTGAAGGCAAATTTCCTTCTCCGTTTTGGGGGTAAAAGAAAAAAGCAAAAGCCACAGGCTGAGCCCCCAAGAACCCTGCTGGCTGCTGCTGCTGGGGAGGCAGCCGTGCTCAAGGACAGGGTTTTGCAGCCCTGGTGTTTTATCCTGCCTCCAAGCCCCTGCCCAGGCTGGGGATCGGGTGCAGGGGTGGCCCAGGTTTAACCCCGCTCCCCCAGGAGCCTCCCCGAGGTGCTACTGCTTCCAGCTCCTCATCCTCACCACACGTGGTACAAAGGCTCTTTGTGACCCGCGGGCACCTTCCAGACCAGACACCACAGCGATGGACTCAGGGAGAGGGACGCTAAAGCCGTGCAGGGGCTCGCCTGTTCGGGACTCTGGGAGCAGGGGGGCTGCCCAGGCTCCCAGCACCCCCCCAGACGGCACCACGACGACACATGTGCGGGCGGGATGCCTCCCCCTTGCCGGGATGGCGGTGGCTGAGGGGCACCGGGCTGA